GTCAAAAGGATAAAGTTCAGTTTACATTATTATGTCTAACAAAACACAGTCATTGCACATTACGCTAGAATTATGCCAAACATTCCACATTCTTTTTCTTTATATAACTCTCCTTACTTGTAGATGTAGGTTTCTAATTATATATTCAAGTTTGTATTTTTTTGTAAGTTTTTATGTTATACTATAGCTATAAACTGCTAAATGCAATAAAAATATATCAATAAAGAAATCTCTATTATTTCTTTCTAATAAAAAGCATACATGTTCAGCCCATCATATTTTCTTTCTTAATCATTCCACCACCCCCCCCAGCAAAGCTGTAATGCGACCGGAACGCAAGGTTGTTACAAAGAGTAATTGTGAAAATGAATGAGAAGACTGGAAATCAGAAGCATTTGGCAAAGAACAAAAGATGAACGGAATTCAAGAAGACAGAAAATGACGATTGACGTTACATTTTAAATATTTGAAGATTGTAGTTATCAGGGAAGCAAGAAATCGGAAGGGATTTCCACGGGCGGGAAGTGTGAGAAAAGAAACTGTTGGAGTAGAATTGCATTTAGCTATTTCAACAGCAAAACGGTGGGACCTATTTGCCTAGTAGCACGCTTAAATTCATATAGTCGGGCCATTAGGGGGGGAAATGTTCGTCATAGCAGTTGCCATGAAAATAATTATAGATGTTGTAACGTAAGGAATGTTACTGAATAGAATAATCACACGAAAGTTGGTAATGAACAATAATACTTTGGACAAGAACAACATATACAAGATTCGCAAGCGACACGTAGATTTAGTCAACTGCTAGAAGTGAGTCAAGTGAATTCCACAATGAATTTCCAACTGCGGGATATCTACCAACCACCCGATGCGGTCAGAGGTGGCACAAGGCCAAATTTAATGTGGGGTACAATGCCCGTAGGCTCGGCCAAAAATTCACTGTAGACCCTGTATAAAACGGGGTCGGGTAGCTGTTTCCCGAGACGAGATTATGACCTTTGACATAGCCTCGTCTGGGGATTCTCTCAGACCGGAGGCAGAGAGTTTGATTAGCACAGCTGGAGACGAATCTCCAACTGCAGACCAACATACAGTATTTACTACTGTATTTATGTGACTGGAGATATACCCATTATCGTCCGTAGGTATGCTACAACAATAGAAAAGACACAGGGAAGCCATTTCACGTCGGTGAGAAAGTGACTGAAGTCGAGATGCCAAGTCAGGGTGGATTACATTGCAGACCATTCTTTGGATTTTGTCAAGAATCCCTAGATGAACAGCAGAACCATCAGACCAGATATGGCAACAGTATTCGTTGTACGGATGAATGATAGATTTGTAAATGTCCAAGATAGATTCTGATAAGAAAAAGGTTATGTGAACCAATTTTCCTAGCAGCAAGCCTAACAATTAATTCAATATAATCATCCCACTTCATGTCAGGGGAAAAGGTGAGCCCAAAAATTCTTAGTGTGTTGGTCTTCTGGAGTTTAACATCAGACATGCTGATGGCAGGCAGAAAAAGATTCTCTTTGAACGTTAAATTAACATCCTTTTATAAAACGTTTCTACTGCATCATCTCACTTCATCAATGAAGAGATTATCCCGTATTTATCTCCATAGAGAAGGGTTGATCTTGCCTAGAAGGTGAGCAAACTTTTCTTTGTTCCTGATGAAATTTTTCTGTTTCCTAATAATTTTCTTAACTTTTGGAAGGCAGCATTTGTACTTGCTTAATTTTCGCTTCTCTAATTTGTCTTCCACGTCTTGGATTCTTACTCTAGCTGACGACCATACATTATGTCTTCTGATAGTCCTTTCTTCTTGCTTTCCTCTACTACCTTGTCTAGAAGTTCCCACCATTTCCTTTCGGTGTCCGCTAGCAACACTCTGTCAATTGCATATCTAATATTGTTAACATTGTGTCGGCCAATAATAAATCCTCTCAGAATACTATAAATGTTGTATAAGTCCGGTAAGAAGATACAACCTTGTCTTACTCACCGTTCTATTTTTTTCTAATTTATTGAATTCATCTTCTATCTGTATTAAGGCGGTTTACTCCTAGTGATTTTCCAAGCGTAGCTTAGATATGGTACAAGGCCGAAAGTATTGGGCACCCAGTGAGGATCAAACTCACTACCGAGTCGTAATTGTTTTAGCGAGACAAACTTGCTAACCATAACTACACCCCGAGGTGCCCGGTTTGCATCTAGTATATGTTCTTGATTATTTAGTATTTAGTAAAATAAACAAATTAAACTAACTGGAATTATTTATATATTTCCTGTCCTATCAGTCGAATCCATTACATTCATTTACGTGCTATGCCCTTGGGAAAGGTATGAATCCTCTTCTTCTCCTCCCAGCTATGGGTAAATAGCAGGACAGACCGGGTTCTATAGCCTTGGATGGCAACTGGTCTACCGCAGAAAGAAATGGCAAGCTACTGGGGGGAAAAATCTGCTTCATCAGTCCTGTATCGAGAGATATATGATCACGTGAGCGTGCATCTCGCATGGCACATATCTGACTGATACAAATCAAATATTTATCCGCATGTAAATAAAATAACTTCCCGGGCAAAAAGTACCGTTTAATTATCACTTCCTTTACGTTTCTTAGATTGCAGTCTTATTTGTTCAAGCCATTCATGTGAGGCACTCAGATACCTTTGTCTACTGTGATCGTCTTGCTTCAACTTGAAGTCTTGAAACTGGCTTTGTGGTTCTGTTGCTAATCTTTTTCTTCCGAGAAATATTTTCATCTCATGGTTCTATTAAACATGTACGTTTTTTTTAACATGAAAAGATGTTGAGCAAAAGACGATTTATATAATACCAGGAGTAATTATTAAAGCGTAGATACCACTGCATTTATTTACAAGTAACGATTTATTTTCAAACAAATGTATCACAGAGTATTTATTAAAGTTTCCACAAAAAAATCATCAGTCACTATAAATTTTATCTGAATATGTGAATTATGGTATCCGAGATTCAATATCACGGACCGAGCATGTGAGCAACGATGAGGTCTTAATTAGGTTAAAAACAAGGAGAAGGCTTATACTTAACATCAGAAAGAGGCTGCTGAAGTTTCTGGGACACATAATGAGGAAGGCGGGCCAGGAGAATCTGATACTCACGCGTCAAATAGAGGGAGAGAGAGACAAGGGAAAACAGCGTGTGACATACCTGACGATCTTGAACGGGTGGATGACAGGACATGGTCTGGAGGAAGAAGCAGAGGGAAGGAACTTGCTGAAAGCTGCAAGGGATAGAGGGAGGTGGAGAGCCATGATCGCCTACGTCCTGAAAGGTCATGGCACATAAAAAGAAAAAAGCTGCAACGTACTTTTGCCCTCTAAATATATAAATGAATAAATATTAAGAGAGAAATTTATTAATTTTCTAGGTTTTCTTACCAGTTCTCATATTATTTAAATATATTTTAGTTTTGCATTGGTTCAGCACATTTCGTTTCGCATTGATTCAGCATAAACCCGCTTCATGTTTTAAATTTAAATAATTCCCTATGTTCAACTGGTTTACTCCCAACTTTGTCATTAGTTCTGGGTTATTTCTTTCCAATATTAGAATTCTTAGCAAACTAGGTAAAATAAGCAAAATAATACTAGAATGAAATAAGTCAGAACCAAGTTGGGAGTAACCAAGTGAAAAAACGCAAAACTACCATAGACTTGCTCCACCACCTAAAAGACGAACATAATTGCGAATTTATACAACTACATATAAAAAGATTTCTACCTTCCCATAAAAGAACTCATGCTAGATAAGGCCAGCTATTTAACTGAAGAAAAAAATAAAAATAAACACAAACGAAATCAATGTCGAAAATGAATATTAGTTGACAATGAAGTTAAACAAAGAACGAATCTTTGACGATGCAAAGGGAAGTTTTAATGGTGCTACACCAGGGAGCTTATAGGTATATATTTACTACATGTATTATGTACAAGAATAGTTTAAAATGATATAGGTCTCTACAGGGACGAGGACCTCATAATCTTAAGAAATATAGCAGGCGGAAAACAGACAAAACCAGAAAAATAATCATACAAATTTTCAAAAATATAGGATTCGCCATAGACATAGACACAAGGCTAAAAAAAGGAAATTTCCTAGAAGTCACCCGCGAATTAAGGAAAGGTTCATATCAACCATATAGAAAATCAAACGACAAACCACATTGCCTTGTGGAGTATAATTTATTTCCAACCGTGCAGACAGGAAGTGTATTGCAATTCTATCACTATTTCCATAGCAAATGTGCAGACGTACCACATTCTTTAGTTCCACCTGTTCAAACCTTTACAGCCAATACCTGCCTTTCTACGCCCACAGAGTTGGATCACTCTCATTTCTCCTTTAATAAGAAGAGCTTCTTTCTCAGAACCGCTACATTGTGGAACAGAGTCCCACATGGGTCCTTCCCTAAATGGTACAATCTTTCAAGTCAATATTTGTCTGTCATCAATATTCTCATAACCTTCACTTACTACGCAAGATTCTTATGTTCGTTAGGTCTATACTAATCACCTTATTCAGTAATACTCTACCTAAAGTGGTTCTTGAGCCTCGTATTGGTTGAACATTAATAATAATGATAATAAGGAAAACAAGCAAATAAAACCGCTGTTTAATTTTTATCGTAAAATCTAAAAAATGGAGCAGAAAATCTGGATTAGATTTTTTTTATTGGTTGACATCCTTTTTTACGGTTTATCAACCTTTTGCAAGTTATTTAAAGTCAGAAAATAATTTTAGATTGTAAGAATTCTTTCGAGATAATAATGATCTATTGATGCAATTCCTACTGAATAACCCATAACTGGGAGAGGAAGACGTGGATTCATGCCTTTCCCAAGGTTATTTGTGCGCAGGTGAATAATACCGAACCCAACTGGAATTGGAACCCGGCTCTCCGATTTCAAATTCCGAGCCGTTATACATTACAGCCACATAATCCAAACTTACAGCACCTGGTATTCCCAAGTGGTCACCCATCTAGGTACTGGCCAGGATCCACGTTGCTTAGCTTCGGTGACCTTTCGAGACCCGATATTTCAACGTTATATAATTGTAAGCGTTATTCTAGCTGTATACGGTGTTGCGTCGTCGTGGAGAACTTTTTTTTTTCTATTTGACGATCACGGGGAGTTTTTACCTTTCCAAATACGTTGCCGCTGCTGGATTTATAAATGTGCATTTAATGTTTCATTGCGTTTTAAGATCTCTAAATAGATAGTGCCAAGACGACCCCACCGCAAATACAACATTAATTTCGAATCTGCTCTAGAGTTGTATCTTTGTCAATCCACTGCCTTTTGCGTTGAACATTGTTGTATGCAATCCACTTTTCAGCGCCTGTTATGATATAGCTAAGAAACGGTTCGTTAGGATGATAGCTTCGTCGTCTGGTCTCCCAAAACGGCGATTACTTATGACTCAACATCTCAGCGTTAGGAAAAGGAAACATTTTTAGGGCGTTCTCTAATTCAAATTGGGATACATTACGTTATTTTTCTCAGCTTCATTTTTTTTTTTTCTCAAGCGGTCACCCGTCTAGGTACTGACCAAAACTCGACGTTGCTCAATTTTTGTCATCGTACGGGAACCGGTATTTCAATGCGATATGGCCGTAAGCCTCTGAAAATGTCAACGAACTCTCTCGACTCGTCTCTCGTAATGCTGGGCCAGACGAAACAACTTTTAATTCTAAAACTTCACTTCCCTGTCACTCATAAACAGGCGGCGTCGTTTATAAGAGACGATACTAGGTCACTAGCTAACGTGACTTCCATCCCGTGAGTCGAGGTGCGGGCTATTATCTTCATTCTGACCTTTACAAATCCATATTTTGACTTTACACACATTCGCCGACTCGTTGGTAATCGTGCCGCTTCGACTGTCTTTTCAACCGACAATCATGCAAGTGACACCTCGAACTCTGCTGCTGCTAATACCATGTTGCTACCTACTTCGGCTTTCACCTCAATGTGTTTACATTCTCCTGTTATTGAATATTTTACAAGCATGCAAATGTTCAAAAGACAGGAGAAATGAGCAGAAACGTTTTTAGAGAAGAATATGAAATATCTCTTACTTTTCTTTTTAATACTGATGTTCAACCAATGCAAGGCCCAAGAGCCACTAAAGGTAGAGGATTACTGTGTGGAGTTGTATTAGCGTCAGAAAGGGCAAATGAAGTTCTTGGTGTTATGCTGGAAAGATAATAGCTAACTCCAGACTTGAACATGTTAAGATTTAATTAGGGAATAACATTTCAGAGTTTTGTCGGATATATATATATATATATATATATATATATATATATATATATATATATATATCTTTCAGGGCCAGTGGATAAGAGCGTTGGTCGGATTCAGTGACGTGACCCAAAGAGTTGGAGTTCAATATACTGTATACTGCAGTGGTGAACAAAAACTTGGAGAAATGAGTTAAAGGGAGATAACTGATACATCCGGAAGAGGTATGGCACGTGGAACTAGAACAATTTACCCAGGTGAACCAAATAAAGGGTTCAGTTCGAAATTACAATCACCTGAAAAAACCTGGAAGTACAACGACCGAAACGTCGTGAATACGACAATAAAGATGAGGACAAGTCTGAACAATGTAAATAATAATATAATATATATATATATATATATATATATATATATATATATATATATATGTATGTATGTATGTATATATATATATATATAATGCTCGCCCAATACAAGGCCCAAGAGCCACTAAAGGTAGAGGATTACTATGTGGAGTTGTATTAGCGTAAGAAAATGTAAGTGGGCCTATGCAGAAGAGGAGGCACAGTGGAGTAATGGATAGCGGCTTGGATTGAGGAATTGAGAGCCGAGTTCGAATTCCAGTCGAATCCATTACATTCACTTACGTGCTAATACCCTTGGGAAAGGTGTGAATCCTCTTTCTTCTCCCTCCAGCTATGGGTAAATAGCAGGATAGACTGGGTTCTATAGCCTTGGATGGCAACTGGTCTAGGAGAAGGAAAACTCTGAATTCAAACCTGCTCTTAGAGGAGGGTGAATGGAGTCTCTCTGAGCCTTGGTTGGCAATCCATTTAGTGTTGGTGTCACGATAAAAACACCCTTGATAGCCCTAGCGAAGCATCAAGAATTCAGCTATTTGACAAGATTATGAACTACACCAATCAAAGTATTGGTGAGTTCAATCTCGGCCGAAGCCGCAAGATGATGTATTAGCGTAAGAAAATGCAAGTGGGTCTATGCAGAAAAGATGAGAGCTAACTCCAGATTTGAAAAGGTCAAGATTTAATTAGTGAATAACAGTTTAGAATTCGCTCGGAGCCGTTGGGAGTATAGAGTTGAAGTAGATTTCAGAAGAAACTGAGAACTCAATCCTAAACAAGAAACAAAGAATAAACCCCTACTCCGGTTTAAAAGCCGGAGAGGAGTGTGAACCGGACGATAGGCGAACCTATATACGCCTATTGGGAATGAAGAATAATAATAATTAGTGAATAAACATTCAGTGTCCAGGCGGGGACGTTGGGAGTATATAGTTGAAGTAGATTTTAAAAGAAACCAGGAACCCGGTCCTAAACAGGAAGCAAGAGATAAGCTTCTACTCCTATTCTAAAAAATCGTGGAGGGGTGTGAACCGGGCGATAGATGAACTTATCTACTATTAAATTTGAAAATCGAAATTGGGTTTCTGAAAAAGAGAATCTATAAGATGTTATTTAATAACTTAATTTGAGGGCAATAAGGCCACTATGACGAAAGGGTTTACTGAACGTGAGAGAATAGGAGAGAAAAAAGTGTTTACGTGAGAATAACAATAAAAAGAAGACAGAAGATAACGAAAATTAACACTGCAAATAAACAAACTTTTAGAATCGATCATTCGGGTTAAAAAAAAAATCGAATCAAGATTGGCAAAAATAAAAATGAAGACCGCCCACAATTAAAACGATCTACAAGAGAAACGATCAGACCCCCCACACACACAATAAAACAATGAGAAACGAAAACTCACCGTCGTGGTTGGTCGGCTTAAAGGTAATTAGCCTTTAATGTTACAGTTTTTGTTTGCATATAGCATTACTCTGCTTGTGTTCTTCCCAGGCTCAATGGTATTGATCTCTAGTTTTTATTGTGGAACGTGGGCGCTTCCTTACTTTGCTCGATTCAGCAGCAACTGCAACAAAAATAATCAGCAAGGTACAACCGGAAGTCCCAGAGGCCATAAAAGCCTAGACCGAGCACAATTCGGCCTTCTTTCAAACCCCAGCTGGAAGGGCTACTCAAAACTTTTTACTGCATGGGCTTTCTGGCATATTGACTTCAGATTTTCTCGTTCCTCTCGTGGGAACCGTCGGAAATAGCCCTTCCAGATACATACCCAAAACAAAAACTACACACGACCCTTGCTGCAGAAGACTCGTACCAGTTCCAGCAGTTTCACATTGATTGCAAGAAATATTTTTAACTTTTTTGTTCGGCAAAGTACTGCTATTTTGCACTCTTTTTCAACCCGAAATAAAAGCTGTTGAACAGTTTTTTTCAAACCTTGGGTTTTGTTCATTCCACACTTTTGCACAAACACATACGCAATTCCTTACAAGGGTAAGAGTTTTCGATTTGATCCAGTTTTTTTTTCTTAACAAATTGAATCACTATCAGTCAGCTATGTGCCATGTGTGATACACGTTTGATACATACGAGGCAGATTTTTCCTGCAGTAGGTTGTCATTTCTTTCTGCGGTAGATCAGTTTGTGTAATGAGAGTCGTGTTGAACAGCCATTCTTCTAACGTCATTTAAATTAATTTAGGGGGGCACCCCAGTCCTTAGACCTACTTCGGTTCTAATCTTCATCAAAAACCTTCCCGACGTCATCAGGTTCAGACTCTATATTTATGGTTATGGCACAACTGTTTACTCCTGTCTTAAGAGTAAGTTCGATAGGTTCGATAAATTAAAAATGGCGGCTAATTTAGAAGATGATTTTCAATCAGCTGTTAAAGGGGGCAAGAAATAGCCTGTAAATTCAATTTAAGTAGAGATCACTGTTTTTAAAACAATATTAATGTCTAGCGGCCTATATATCGAAAAGTACTACTAAAGAGAAATCGGAGAGCAAAGTTCGAATTACATCAAACTCACTTACGTGCTAATATCCTCAGCAAAGTTATGAATCCAAATACTACCTCCGCGCCAGCTATAGGTAAATAGAATGACAGACTGGGTTGTACAGCCTTGAGTGGTAACCGATGTAGGAGAAGGAAAACTCTGAATTCAACATTCAGAAAGAATCGTTTGCATTGGCTCGAAGATTCCAACGACGGTCGACTCCTCGACTACTAAATAAAATAGCCCTGAGCGTGAGATGTGCATTTTGTAAATAGGGTAATCGAGTTTTACTTTGCTGTGATAGCTTACGGTCTCCAAAATCGTTAATCACAGATGATCTAAAAATGTGTTCCTTGACGTTTCCTCAGCATATACAGTCCTGCTCGATAAAAGTGATTCACCTGATTTTTGTACTTAAAATTTTTTTCGCCTATTGTTTTTGGAGTCAAACTAATTTTTAATCATGCTAATGTAAAGACCCCTTCCCGACCACCTAGTAAAAAAGTTTACTCACCCTAAGGTATTCTATTGATAATTATAATTTTGGATATAAATGAGATTTAGGGAAAAACTCTGTGCAAAAAAGTGACACACTTCTTTCCTGCAACTAGTAATCAATAGAAACATAACCAAACAGCTTTAAATAAAGAATAATAGAGGTATAATTTATTTATAATATGTAATATAGTTCGAAATATTTAATAATCTATGGGTCCTCCATTATTTTGAATAACATTTTCAACCCTTTTTGGCATTGACTTGATTAGGTTCTGGCAAATCTCATCTCCAAACATTGAATTCCATTCGGATATGAAATTCCCAATGAAATCCTCTTTGTTGCTCACCTGCTTTCTTGAGAGCCTGTACTTTATAATGCTCCATAAGTTTTCTATGGGGTCAGGAGATTGGGGCACCCATGTCATAATACTCACCTGCTTCTCATCAAAGTATTCCTTCATCAATTTTGATTTGTGACAGGGAGCATTATCCTGCATAAAAAATGAGCTTGGTGGGGTCGATTTTCACCCATTCAGCAGAAGGGAGCAGACAAGACTCTAAAATTCTCTTGCAATGCTCGCTCCTGAGGGTCTTTTCAATAGATTTTAAGAAACCAGTTCGATGAAAAGAAAAGCATCCCCAGAACATTATACTGAACGGATGCTTGACAGTACTTACTGCTAAATTCAAAGAGCTTTCAAAGCTTCTTCTTCGGATTTTAGATCGCTTTTCCTTTGAATTTAGCTCAACCTTCGTTTCATCGGAGAAGAGAACATTTAGTAAAAAAATCAGGTGAGTCACTTTTATCGAACAGCAATATATATATATATATATATATATATATATATATATATATATATATAAAGTGAATTAAAAGCTGGCTTCTTGTATCCCTATCCGCAGGGGCGGCAAGTCAATCCATGTTGCAGACGCCTCCTCAGGCACATTTATGATTTTTAAACACCCGCAGAGCCCGTCCGTCATTTATCCTGCAACTATGCTGAGCTGACCTTAGTCACAGTTTCTGGGAAGTGAGTGTATAATCTGGTGTGATCAACAGTTTAAATAAGTCTCACACCTTCGGTTACGATGACTTGTCAATTCGTGCTAGTATAACCATAGAATATCAAATTCCATCTGCGCAATTTCACTCCAAAGTACCGGGTCAATGCTTGACACTGTTTGCTGGCACTTTCCAACGGAAACCGCCTGCTAGGACCGCCTCTCCATCAAGAAGACAGATTCCTGACAAATCAAAGTGAGACTCGAACCCGGATCTCATGGTCCGAAAGCGAACGTTCCAATCGTTCGGTAACGCACCCATATAGAAAAGAAAATTGAATCAGAAAGATAATCTCTTACTTAATAAGTAAAGTCTTGGGCGTAAAAGGCAACAGAAAATTGGGGTCTGGATTATACGTGATGCTCTACTCATGAACTGGTAACACCTGAAAAGGTCATCTTATATTTCGCGCTTCTCGCCAGATTGTCAGGGGATGCATGTCCCAATCTTTGACATAAATTATAGCTGAGGGAAGGGCAAATAATTAAGAGCTCATTAAACCACTTTACAAAATGCTAAAAATGGCAATGTAAAAAAAAACAACTCTACCTTTCAAAATGCAGTATTTCTTCGTCTCCATTATACGTAGTTATTTCAATAACATTAAAAAGAAATCGTAATTATGCTAAAAATTACTTAATATTCTTTACTAAAT